TATTGACTCAAATTGCTTTCACTAAAACAAAAACACAGAGGAAAAAATCACCATATGTGCTTTTACACGAGCTGCACTTGCTGCTACGTGGGCTGCCATTTTGTTCTGGAGTTTATTTTCTGAACCTGATGAAAGTAGTTTACGATTATCTTTTACTGTGTTTGATATTATTTTGGACTTGTTTGCTTCAGGATTTTGAAGTCTTTTAAATCTTGACCTTGTGAGACAACATGTTCTATAGGGTCACCCACTGACTTGACAATTACTTTTCTTATATATTTGTTTTAAATAAAAGCATCCTCCAAGGCGGGGCTATCAATTAAAAATTCTACGTATTGTTGGGAACTCAAATTAATCTTACTTTCATTAAAATTTTTTAGCAGGTCAATGTTTTTGAAATCTACAAATCTATATTATTAACTTTCTAATATATTAGAAGATATACAAAAATATTATGGAAGAGTTTGTTAAGTAGTAGCTGAAATGAAGATGCCAAGTGTCTGCAGCATCCGTCTGGTCTACTGTGCTAATTCCCTAACTGCTGGGTCAAAGTAAGGTTAATTCGTGAAGTCTTGACTTAGTGAATTGACATCATTCTCAGTGCATGGTGCCTCCTTTGGAACATGTTTATAAGCCTGCATTTAGTAATTTATTCCATATCGGTTTCTGGAGATTGACATAAATTCTTTAACTGATGGTTTTAGCAGTAGCTCTTTTCCCGATATACGTAATCTTTAGGCATGAATCCTGTGCTTATAGTTGAAATACAATGATTCTGTGACTCTATTTTCAAATTCTTTTATTCATTTCTTTGAATGTGATCCTGATGGACATGGAGACTCAGCTTCACTTAATATCTCTTATTATCATCATTTATTTTTCCTTGAAGAATTTTTATTTTGCCTTTTCAATTTTGAGCCCTTCCATGGGTGTTCAGAAGCATATCTCTTTTACTCTTCATGGGTGGACTCTGCCTGCTATGTTTGTAACCCCTTGAAGACTCTTTCTTGTATGGATCATTTATAATTTTGTAGATATTCCCTTTGTCGCAACTTGATTTATTTTATTTCCTTCTATAATTTTTGTTTTTATTTGGTTTAAAGTCAACTGGTTCTCATAAAATTACCACAAATGTCTTAAAATGTAAATTTTGCCTCTAAACTCAGTTTATGTTTCATTAGTGATGGTGTTGAATGCTTATTCCCAGTGAGAATATCTTTATTAAATATACTCTCAAAGTTTAAGTCATGCTTTCCCTTATGGTCTCTGGATCTGTGACATAAAAAATTCACCAAATGGTGCATAATGTGCCTCTCATATATTTCCCTAAGCTACTGAATCGAGAAGAGAAGAGTTTCATGCTATCCTAAAATCAGATCCTCTTCTAAGTCTGACAAAGCCTCATTCTTCCCTTATTTAAATGGTGGTAGATAGGATTTTCATGAATCAAGAGTGTCACTTTAGTCCAAAGTGATTTGCACTGTATCCTCAAATCACTGGCAAAATGTAGAGCGCAAGCATTGTATGTTGACATTCTAAAGAACTTATGTTTAGAAGATCCAAAGATTTGCACTTGCAAAACCAGACAGACAGGCAAAAAACAAAACACTGTCTGGAATAGTCATATGAGATGAGTGAAAATTATAGACATGAATTGGAATATTGAAGTTTCACCTGTTGACCTACGGGTGGGAAGGTTTGGGCTGGGGACTCATCCATCATGAATTCTACAAGACACCCATGAAGAGATATGTTTAAGATTTTTAGATTTTATTACCTTAAAAATATGGTGGTTCCTCAAAATAAAACTAAAAATAGAACTACTATATAGTCAAGCTATACCATTCCTTGGTATATACTTGAAGAAGTGAGTCAGCATACTACAGAAATACCCACACATTCACATACATCACAGCCCAATTAACAATGATGAGGCTATGCAATAGGCCTGGGTGCCAATCAGTAGATGAGTGGATAGAGAAAATGTGACATGCATACAATGCATGGTATTATTTAGCTGTAAAGAAGAATGAAATCATGTCATTTGCAGGAAAAATGGATGGGACTGGAGATCATCATGTTAAGTACAATAAATCAGATTCAGAAAGACAAGTGTGTGGAATGTAGGGAAAAAAGAAGGGGTGGTTAGAGAAGGGGACAGGATTGGGGCAGGAGGAGGGGAAGGAAGGGAGGGTAATAGGCAGGTGGACAAGACCAAAGTATGCTATACATGTGTACAAAAAGGCCACAACCATATCCATCACTCTGGATAATCAATATGCACTAATGAAAAGTTGCTAAGAATCTCTTTGCTTTCAGTGTGATGACTCAGACCTTGGCCAGTGGGTGAAGAGATTTGTCTAAGGCAAAATGGTACCCATGTAAAGATCACGTGGAACAGGAGGGAACCGTATCATGTTAGCTTTTCCAGATAACTGTGCTAATCGAAGGATAAAGAGAGGAGATTGTTTGGCTTGCTATTTTAGAGGTTTCAGCCCATGTTCACTGGCTGGCCTCCTTGCTTTTGGGCCTGCGGTGAGGCAGAACATCATGGGGAGGATTGTGAGGCAGAGAGGAAGAGGAAGGCCTGGGTCCCACAGTCCCCTTCAAGGGCACACAGTACCCACAGTGGCCAGCAGCCCTCCTAGGAGGTCCCGCCTCTTACAGTGTCCGCCACTTCCCAATAGCACCACTCTGGGCCCTGAGCCTTGGACACATGGGCCTGTGGGAAGGGCTTTCAACCATGGTACTCAATGTGAAGAGAGACGGAAAGAAGGGAGAACACATGACGTGCACTAGAACTTCACCTCAAAATAAGAGGCAGAGAGGGAGAGACAGTCGGGAAGAAGGGACCACACTGGATGAATGGCGCATGCTCAATAGAGGCTAGTCCTAGTGGTTGGGAAGAGCTGGTGAAGACGGAGTCTTTTGCACAGAACTTGGGTCACCATGTTTTCCGGCCACTTCCAGACATCGTCCTCCACTCATAACCAACCAGGAGAAGGGAGGCAGGGAGCAACTTGAGGGGCCATGGTACAAACTGAAGCTAAGGGGATGCTACAGATAATGGCTCTCCTCAGCTCAAGGTGGACAGGATGTATGAACAAAGTGACTTCTCAATGGCCCAGGCAAATGCTCTGCTGGGATTTGTACTCCACCCTTGCTTCTGGCTCCCAAGGTCTTGCTTTTCTTGGGCTTGCAGTCCATGGTCCTTCTGTTTCACAACACTTCACAGGTGGTAGAGCAGTGGTACCACCTCCTACTTAACAGAAACACATTAGATTTGACAAGAATCACATCAGGCATCCAAGATTGTCATCAGGCTGTGATATTTCTGTTTCCGGTTCAGGCCTTCTATGTTCAAATTTGTTTCTGAACCATGGGCAGTTGGCTCTCATGGAATCACTGTGTGTGTAAGGAAAAAAACATTCATATAGTTAAATAGCCTATTATTTTCCCCCTTTTGTTGTAATATGAATTTAATTTTTTATTTATCATCATTCTTTACTTCCCTGCTTAAAACAATATCTCTGCCATCAAGATCTCATTTCTGGCCAATATTATTGTGTGTTTCCTGTTTAGTCATAGAGAGGAGGGAAGTATTAAAAACATCATCTTCTCTGCCTGTCCAACATGCTTGAGGTGCTACTGACTCCAAGAGAGATATTATCATGAACTAAGGCTTAGAAGGAAGACTGTTCAGAGGGTCTGAGTGATTGAGGTGTTAATCATTTCTTCCCGTTCTGACCTGTCAAAAGTGTTGGCATAGGAGAGGATCACATTCGAGGTGAAAGATCTAGCTTTGGTCACAGTAAATGCCAGCAGCACAGAGAGCAAAAAAAAAACCATGGAGTTCTGGTCTACCCTTCTCATATTCATTTCCTCTGCGTTTTGGTGGAAGTCAAACCACGATGCTGCCCCAGGCAGCCCTCTCCAGTCTTCATCTCTCACAATCTGGAGAGGGGATTTCTGCTGGAAGCCCACTTTCCCCAGCCTCTCACGGACTCTCAGGAGCAGTGTGAGCCTTCTGGTAAGCAGTGGGGGTGGAACCAATAAGTTCTAAGCAGACGAAGTTGTGGCTGTCCAAATAAGAACAGGACACGGGGCGGCGTACATTGTCAGAAATCTGATGTTTTGTGGAAACATCAGAATGTGACAAACCCAAGAAAAGTTACATGTGCTAAAAGCCTGGAAATAGCAATAACATAAAATGGAGTGTCCTTGCATGTGATAGTGTGTCCTGTCCTGAAGGTATTCAGATTGGAAAACAAAGATTTCAGCCATGAGCAACCGAGCTCACACTGAACAGCACAGGAAGCTCTCAGGTTACTTTTGCTCCCATATAAGCATTCTCTTCACTTTTGTTTGTTTGTTTTTGAGACAGGGTCTTACTATGTAGCACAGGCTGGGCTTGCACTCACAGCAGTCCTCCTGCCTCAGCATCCTTGAATGCTGAGATTACAGGTGTGCGCCACCACATCGGGCTTGCATCCACTTCTAAAATTAAACTATCCTACCCTCTTTCACTGGCTTTTGTCAGGGCATCGTGCAAATAATGCGCCATGTTGTCTGTTTAGATGTGCTTGGAGATGTTTAGGTCTTAACAGTTCAAGTGATGTGTGTGTCAAAGGTAGCTGACGAACTCTTTTGCTGGATAACAATGATATATGGCGACAACACCAAAATGCTCCTTGGGGTGAAGTGAAGATCTCTGGACTATTATCCAGGTGTGAACTTGAGACTGGGACCCGAACTGCTTTATCTTTCTGAAGGTGGGACTCATTTTCCACATCTGGACAAGACCCCAGGTATCTTCAGGCTCTGACCTCTTGACTTCATCAAAGCCAGCAGGAGGTACTGCACCTGCATTTCCTCCTGTGCAGATGGGCAGAGGGAACTGATGTCTGTTTGCTTGTCTTTCTCCCCCACTGAACGGTAAGCTCCTTGAGGGTGGGCAGGGACTGCACTGGCTCACAACCATCTCTCCATCTAACACACAGGGCCTCAGGCAGCAGCTCCGGAAGGAAGGAAGGAAGGAACCGGCTCACAGCTGAAGGCAGAAGCAAAATTGTTAGCAGAAGCCTCCTGTGACAGTGAGGTACTCTTTTTCTAGCTGGGAAATGCTCTTACTTGTTCTTCTTTGAAAGATGGATTCTTACTGGCTAAAGATTTAGATCCAAAGCGAATATTAATTGGAAAGTGACAAAGTGGGAGTTTTATGGGCTCTGGACCACTCAGGCCCAGCTGCTTCCTGTTAATGGGGATGGCTCTTCCCCTCAGTCCCTGTTCTCTGCCAGAGGGGATTGTGCTCTCTGGCATCCTCTTGCAAGAAGAAGGCCTTCCTTTGTTCTCTTCTTACTTTAGAATGGGCTGGATTTTATTTAAAGAACTCGGTCTCCCTTAAGGTTTTAATGGTGGCTGGAATGGAGACCCTACCTTCCGTCACTGAAATCTGCAACCTCTGTAAGAGCCTGGCACAGTGTCTCTCTCTGGTTATTAGCCTCTGGAATCACAGTATCTGGTTCCCCCGAAGCACGATGTCTGAATGTCTGTCACACCGGTGGGTACAATACCTACTGGTTGTGGCTCATTAGGGGTTGTTTGACATCAGCCTTGTTCATTTTGCCAGACCTCGTCTTCTCCAGGGAAGTCACTGGCTGTGCTGATTTCACTCACCATCAGCTCCTCTCCCACACTGTTCTCTGGCAGGCATTTGGTAACCGTGTGAAGGGATGATTTCTAGGGAAATTGGGAAATGCAGTCAGTCCTAGTCCCTCGAGTCACAGACTTCAGACAGACTCAGAGATGACATCGTGCAACTTACTAATCTAATAGTCTAACTTCATTTGTGAGGACAGCTTCTCTGGAAGGTGCAATTCCATGATTTGGAGATGTCTGCAGAGTCTGGAGAGATCTTCAGCAGCACCAAGGGTCTCAGTTTCGAGTACTTTGTTCAGAAAGCAGGATTGGAACCTATTTCCGCTGTGCCAGAGTACAAGAAGAGGAGGCTTAGCCAACGTGGGCCGTGTAAGTGCGGAGGGATTTGTACATCAATTTTATAGCCGAGTAGCCTCTTTCCTCCTCTCCTTCAACTCCTACCCTTAACATTTTATTTTACCATTGTTTGGTCTCCGGTGTCAAATAAAGCACCTTTTATATTTAGCACAATAGGCCCAGTGTCGAGTTTGTCTAGTCCAAAGTACTGTGCAAACATTAACCCATCCGACTCCCCTTGACCCTGCACTGCACACCCTTGTTTAAACACTGCGGTGATCCTGGGTAAGCACTCGAGGCAGTAGCTACGAAAATTACAGAAAGCACACGAGAGTTTAAATATCTGTTAGGGTGTGTTGTGGACTGATGTTTCCCCTGGTGTGAAGGCTTTAAATCCTGACTGTTTACAGTTCACGAGTCTTCCGGAGGAATGATTAAGAGCAAAAGTGTATGGAATAGGAAAGGGCTGAGCAGCTTGCAGAAGAAGGTGAAGACTTTTCATGATGGACTCGCTAAAATATTTCAAAATAGCGATATCCAAGGGTTTTATTACTAAAGTAGAGTTAAGCAACAAATTCTTGAGAATCTCCATAAATCAAAAAATTACTACCTCCCCCCCAACAAAATAAAAATATCTGGCTGAGTTTTGGGGAGTGAAGATATTAATTTATCTAAATGACATGTTGACTGCAGCTTGTTCTTAGAGGCGGTGAGTTTTTCCCCTTCCATCTGAGATGTCTAGCTCATCCCTCCTTCCTGCCTTTGGAATTTGTAATACATTGTAAAAAGTTCATTCCAATTCTATCACAAGGAATGGAATGTGAGGAGTTCACAGTTATTTCAGCTCTCTAAACTTTTTAAAGAAAACATTTGTATAAAAGAAATACTGTATTCCATCATCAAGAGGATTTAAAAAAATTCTAAAAGCTGTAATTACAATGAGAATGCAACAACCCCCCATTCTTATCTTTAATTTATGTACAACTTTTACTTTTATTTTTGGTACCAGAAATCGAACTCAGGACCTTGCACTTGCCAGGCAAGTGCTGGGCCACTGAGCTGTATCCCCGGCCCTGTGCACAACTTTTAGAAAATCCAAGCTGTGCTGTCTGCTCAGTTTTCTCACCTGTAAAATGGAAAGTATTTGAGGAACTCCAGAACTATGGCTTCTTTCTTTTGACCATTCACTCAATATTTCAGTTACTTTAACCCTGGCTCACCGAAGTAAGGGCAGAAGGCATTGCATTAGTGGTGGTTGTCTAAGAACTTTGAATTTTTGTTGTGATCAGCATTTACAGCTGTGATGCATCATGACAGATGATGACATAGTCATCTTTTGTTTTCTTGGGTATGTGTGTGTGTGTGTATGTTTATATCTTCTACCTCATGGGAAGGAGGTTATCTGCAACACGTATAATGGTGTAAATCTCTCTCAGAATATTTATGGTATAAATGATTGTTAAACAGGAAACACTTAAATGCTGAGTTAACTACATTTTTAAAATGAATGACTATGATCATTTCAGTCTCATATTCATCCAGTAGTTATAAAGGTCTGATTGTCAGCTGAGAAAAATAGAAATTGCTGTCTACATCTTTTGAAAGGTCTCTTGTGCATTCAGCACATTTTGTAGCCCCTAGGGCTGGAGATGTGGCTTAGTTGTAAAGTGCTTGTCTAGCATGCACAGGTTCTCAGTTGGTTCTATCCTCAGCGCTGCAAAACAAAACCAAAACAAAACAAAGATACCCCTCGTGGCCGTATATATAGCAGGTCCTCGTGAAGAGGCTGGTGGAGTCAAGGATTTCATCTGTCAGAGGAGCAGGTTTGAGTGTAGAGCCTTAAATATACAGAGACTGTGGCCATGTCTCCCCTTGTACACATTCCCTCAGCAGCAATGTGTAGATCCAAGTGAAAACACCTCTAAATTCTGAAGTGATGGAGTTCTGATTTCCCTCCATAATTTCTTTCTTTGTTGTTTTCTTTTTTTTTTTTGGCTTGTTTTTGTTTTTCTTCTGGTACCAGGAATCGAACTCACAACCTTGTGCTTGCCAGCCAGGTGCTGTGCCGCTGAGCTAAATCCCCAGCTCCTTCCCCCCATAATTTCTCCTTTGCTATTTAAAACAAAAACATTCACATATCAAGCGATTTCCAAATGATGCTTGGGAGCCCCTGGCTTGCGGTGAGAGGTGCTCAGAGCACAGGGCTACGAGGAGCACGGCACAAGCAGAGCTGCGGCACAGCTGCACATCCTTCAGCCAGACTTGAGGCAGTGCCAAGCTCTCCACTGGCTGACTTCTGCTTTTATGCAAGGCTTGTAAACTATCAGGCAGATGTAGAGGCCGCTTAGTTCCTGGCACATCCTTAGTTTCACATTTACGTAGCATTTTTCTACCTAACCACGCTGATAAGTCAAGGAATGATGCCAGCCCTTATGAAGTGCACATATGATAATGTTTACATACGGTAATATCCACGAATGTTGATAAATCTTCAAACAAGGATTACACAAATGTGGAAAAACAGGTCTTTTGCCTGAGTATCTCTTTTCACCGCATAATAGCAGATGGTTTGTTCAGCTTTTCTCTTTGTGTTGCAAGCTGATTTTCCCATGTTCTGTTGATTAAGACTCTCATGCTGTTTTGCTCTTTTAGAACATGTTTTCTGATCACTTCTTGCATAAATCATAAAATTATTATTATGAAAACAAAACGAGAGATTGAAACAGGCAGATATACTTCACTTTAAATGACTAAGCCAGTGGAGAATCTGGGAAAACATTGGATTTAATTTCTAGTTTTAAAGATTATTGTTTACTATACAAATATGATTCTACTGTGAGTCAAATCACATTTTCTATGACTGGCTGCAGTAAAAACCAGTTACAAAATTAGTAGGAGCTGTGACTTCAAGTGAATGCCTTGCTTGTTAAGTGGGCAATAATTTTATTTCTGAACATGAGAATTATTGAGAGTTCCACTACATACGGTAAGGTGAAGGTTTCTAAAGCTCAGCACTTAATATACACTCTAAGACTAAAGGAAGGAATCCTCCAAAATAACATAAAACACATTAGAAAGTATTTAAGTGTTTTAAATCAGAATAGAGGTTTTAACATGTTTATGGGATTGCACATGCCATATTACAGCCAAAACCTTCAGAGACTTATTGTATAAGTTTGCCTTGGATTTTAAAAAATTTTCATATGTTTTTCCCAAGGAGCTTTCAGTAGCTTAGTAGGTTTGAGGAAAAAAAATTAATTAAGGTATAAAGGCTTATCAAAGATGGAAAACATACTTTGATTCAATATGAAAAATCACCAAAATCATGTTTGCATAAAAAATAGGCAGTGCAAAAATTTAATGTTTGCTAGAATTATGGCATTCATCAAGGAGAGGAATGACACATGAACCACTTATGGAATAATTTATGCTTCGAATTGTGAGTTAGTTCGGTGAGGGGAGCTGCATGAGAGATTTTGCCCTCTCCAACTGAGATTTGGATTTTACCAAGATGTTATGTAAAATAACTTTTTCAGGTGGATATGTTGAAATTGGAGAAACTGAATTTTTTGGTTTTGAATGCTAATTACTTTTTACTCTTTTCATCTGTATTGTGTTTGTTTAGACGACATACTTCTGGTGTTGATTTTAGACTTTTTTCCCTACCTTTTTTCTGGATAAGGCAGTCGCTACAGTTATGTCAACAAACCCCATAGTTTATCGGGTAAAAATACTTTGTTGCTCTTCTTTTCTAGTTGATTTTTCACTATTTCTAAGGAATGGAGAAATAACCGTGAATGCACCCTGCAGTACGGTACATTACAACAATAAGCGTGTCTTCAGGTGTGTTGCAACCATGTCCCATCTGGACCCTTGGGTTTCAATAGCATCTGTCTTAGAAATGTCTAAACACATTCTTCAGCTCAGGACTTTGTAATGATGACAAAACTACACCCTGACTGAAAAGCAGACACTGTTTATAAATATTTACACCAGTATAAAGGCAACTGTACAAACTACAACTACATGGTCTAGACACAGTGGTCAGCTTTGGGTCCCTTCCCGTTAAGGAATTTGTGAGCCATTCCTCAAGAATATATCCTTGACCTAGGCCTTTCTGCAGGCCTGCTTCTTTCCACACACGTTAAACTCTTCTTTGGTCCCTAAAGTTCCCAGCCTGTGCTGCTGTGCTGGAGTGACCAGCTCCTTGGATCTCGGTGTTTCTTCATTCATACATATTTACCAAGTGTCTTCTCATCTGTGCCATCTGAGGCTTGGAGTAGCAGACAGGATGTGGTCCCCAGCCTCTAGGATGAGGACGGAGATATGTGGGGGGCTCTGACTGCCCAGTGGTGATATAGAACAGCAGCGGGGCTGTTGGCAGGAGCTTCAGGAACAGTGAGGAAGGCCAGCTGAAAAGCTGGGGTGCAGAGGGAGTCCTAACCTGAGAGGGGCAGAGTGCAAAGATAGCTTTCAGCTGTGCACTGTATCAGGTGGAGGACAAGTGTGTACACAACAGGAAAACACTAAGTTACATGCTGCAGAGCGAGCTGGCAGTCCGTGGTGGAGGGCGTGGTGCTGCGGTGGTCCTGTAATGTCGTAAAGGAGCAGAGTGTTTGCCACTGTATTACAATTTTCCACAGTATCCAGTTCAGTGACATGCTGTGGAGGATTGCAATCGAAGAGGAATAGGCCATGCCACACGACCTAGGTGTGCAGAGGGCAAGGCCATCCAGCTCCGTGTACACAGACTCTGTGATGTTCACAGAACCACGGAACCTCCTCACAACGCAGCTTGCAGAATGTGTCCTTGTCATTAAGTGACGCGTGACTATGTTACCTGTTCAGGACACTTTGTCCTGGAGACCACAGACTAACTCTGTAAAAATACTGTGTTTGTGGTACAAACTATTCTGTAATTGAAGGCTGTTTTATTGCCTTAGTGGAAGGCTACTTCACGGTTGCTTGGCTCTGGGAGGAAGTTTTTATTAAACTATTTACATTACAGAGATTAAGTTAAAATAAGAAATTTTCTTTCTGCTCAGGTCATTGGGTAATTGCTCAAAGAAGAAAATCCTTCAGCCCAAACTATTTGT